AAGAGAGAAAGAGAGAAAGAGAAAGAAAGTCGACAGGAAGACATATAACACACACGCACCTACAAACACCAGAGACGATACTCACTCAATCAAAAAGACACGTATACACATGATTAATATGGTGATTAATAAAACATTTAATAAGATAACAACGGCGGTGCAGCCGCGTTCGCGATAATATACATATGCATATATAAATGCATTCGTTAGCCCGCATAGGAAACATGTACACCACACACACACCACACATGCGCATATAAGCATACGTAACAGCAGAGACACGCACACGCGCCCGTATAAAACATATATATATATATATACGTATATATATGTATTCAAACATACAAAGAAGAAGTGCGCGTTCTTCGCACTTAGGAAGAGCCTCCTTTTCTGGGCTGTTGAGTTTTAGGTTGAACGAGAAAGAAAGAAAGTGTGAGAGAGAGAAAGAGAGAAAGGTGAACAAAGAAGGGCGGAGAAAAAAAATTCAAGTACGGTCGAAAGAACCCGACGACATCACGGCGATGAAGATGGCGGTTGAAGGTGGGTGAGAGATGGTTCTGTTAGTTGGTGCGACAAATAGTGGTGACTGTGAGAAAGTTACGGGGTTGTAGTAGTAACGACGGAGAGGGAAAAAGGGAAAGAGAAAGAGAAAGAGAGAGAGAGAGGGAGAGAGAGTGAGAACAAGCAAGGGTTCATAGGAGGGAATTTTTCGAGGGTGATACCGAGTAAAGAAAGAAAGAAAAAGAAAGAGAGAGTGTGTGAAAGAGAGAAAGAGAGTCAGAGAGTCTTCGCTCTTCTTTTCCTTTGTTTCCACCGTCTACGAGGAGGCTGCTTGCTACTCCTCCTCGACAGGGGGTCTTTGTCGCTTCAATGACGGAATAGCACTTCTCTTTCCCTACCCTAACCCACCCCCATCCCACCCCCGACTACGTCGTCATCGTTGTGTGTGTCGTTGTCGTCGAGACTCTCCTCCCTTTTCCCGAGTGTGCACATGCACAAGATGAAGAATAAAGGCCCGAAGAAATATAAGAAGATGAGAGAGAAATAAAGAAAGTTCATACATCTATATATATATATATATATATATATATATATATTGTGTGTGTGTCGTGTGTGCGCGCATTTTGTTGAGATATGTGCGTGTACGCATGTGTGGGAGAATATACGAGCGATGATAGCGTATCGAGACAAAGTGATGCATCTGACTTTCTTCTAAGGACAGATGCATTTTTCAAAGTTAATTAGAAAATCGCTGAGATCATTGGGTAAGGTTATTACGCGTTTTATTACATCGAAGCTTTTAAGAGATCGTTCTCGGATTTAAAAAAAACAAAAACAAAAAAAAAAAGTCAATGCATCTGCTACGTGTACATGCATGCGTGTGTGTTTCCAATAATGATTGAAAGTTAAAGAACCGGCTAGAATGAATGAATACGAAGAGAGAAAGAGAAAGAGAAAGAGAAAGAGAAAGAGAGAAAGAGAGAGAGAGAGAGAGAGAAAGAGAAAGAGAGAAAGAGAAAGAGAGTGAAAGAGAGAAGGCGTTAACTGAATGATATCGTAACGTATCGCTCGTCTCTGCGCCCGGTCCATACGTTACTGTCGAAATTTTGGCCTCAAGCGAACGTCGAACAATGATCGGATTAAATCTATAAAACCGATCGTTCCGCTCGTACCGATCAATTATTATACATTGCACTAACTTTCGTACATGTTAACGCGAATTATTGTATTATCTAAATATCATAACGATATATATAAATGATATTATATATATATATATATATATACACGGAGAAAAAGAGAGAAAGAGAGAGAGAAAGAGAGAGAGAGAAAGAAAAAGCACGTCCGTGAGACAAATGTATTATCGTGAAGCGGTTAAACTTTAATCGAACAAAATGGTTTAGTAACAAAAATAAAAAAGAAAAAAAAAAAAGAAATAAACAAAAAAGAGATTAATTAAATAAAATAATACGTTGATAAAATGTATTAGCATGCATAACATATATGCAGGTATTAATATACACGAATGCGAATGTATACGTATATTCTTATAAGTATATACGTATACAGGGAAAATAACATTACCGGTCGTCCGCAATGTACAGAACATTAGAGTCAATGCCGTAAAAGTACGCCGATTTGCTGATTTATTTGACACGATAAATGATAAAAATTAACGATGAAATGTGTACCCTAAGAAAATTTTTTCGCGTGAGAGAAAGAGAGAGAGAGAGAGA